TCGACATGGCCCGGAATATTGACATCCGGAAGAGCCTTGGAATGCAGCCTTTGCTTCTGCAGATTGAGAAGTCACAGCTGCGATGGCTTGGACATATGGTGCGAATGCCTCCAAGAAGAAAAGCTAAGCAACTGATTCCTTCGAATCCGACCGGCAGAAGGCTTAGGGGACGGCCCAAGATTAGCCTGGTACAAACATATGGAAGGAGTCTGTTCCAGACTGTATTTGTCTTTTGCTGAAGCTCAGACCTGGCACAGGATCGGGAACGTTGGAAGCTGTCTCTGACGTGTCTGCCTTCGACCTGAAGGAAGAAGCGGCGATGGTAGATGAAGATGATTGAAGTGTCTTGCTGTATAAGAGTGTTTTACAAGAAGTTATGTCAGCATCAGTTACCATTTCTTCGTTAACCGAACGTTCTTTGTTTCATGGCACTCTTTGAGGGGTAGCGTAGCGGTTGAGATACGTACGCTTCATCATGTTGTACTCTAGCGTACAAGGCTTTATTTCGGTCATTGTCTGGGCTACTGGTTGCGGTAGGGCTACAGGATTGTGGCGGGGTTGTTACAAATACTTTCTAAATATTAAAGCAGCTAATTGCGTATGTTCCTGATTTCTGACATGATAACTTTGTTGAGCTCTGGTAATCATCATCATGAGATCACTGCAGCCTGATTTCAAACCGCACAGTTTACACTGGTATAAGTGGTGATTTTCTTTTTATAACTACGGGACCTTAGTTGTTTTTGTATCTCTTTCTATTAGTTTTCTTGCATTTTAGAATTCAGCGACAAGACTGCCGTGCAGAACGTTTCAAAGACAGTTTATGCCACAGCTGATACATCTGTTCCAGTTGATCTCCTTACCGGACATGATCGAGGTACATAAAGTCACGATTGTGATTAATCCATAGAATATAATGAGGTGGAAGAAAACTGTCAATTTGCAGACGTTGCTAAGCTTGCTAACGATAACCGTACAGGCGTGGATGTACTCGTAGAAGCTAATCATCTTTTTGATGTTCATCATCTTGTATCGGTTAATGAACTCAGGACGGGTGTCGAAACGACGAAAGGTGATGGTGAAGTCGCAGAAGTTCACAAACCTGTAAGATGTGAGCAGCCAGCAGAAATTGATGAATCTAGAGAATTCAATACATTGTTAGCAGATGATGTGATTTCACAAGGTAATCAAGCCAAGAAACTTATTTAAACTGGCTGAATGTAATTTTTTAGGACCGATTCTGCTCCCAGCATCCACAAAAATAACGGAAAATAGTGCTGAAATTGCGGAAAAGCATCGGCATGAAGAAGATAATCTTCAAGAAAATGAACTAGAAGAAGAGGAGCTTGAAGTTGATGGACAAAAAGAATCTGAAGAGCACAATCAGCCGACAGTGAATGTAGACGTGACTCATTTGTCTTCGCTGTTGGTAAGTTTGTCCGTTATATAACAGGCATGATTCGACACGGAAACATCTGCAACACATCATTCATTCGTTTCCTTAGCGCACTGTTCCTTCCTAGTGGTGGGACAAGAACTTCAGGAATATTTTAAATTAAAACGCATTCTTCGCTAATCAGACGTACTTCATGGATTGGATTTCAGGCACCATATCGTAAAGTGTTCCGTATGCTCGAGCTATCTGGCACTCCGTCTGTCCTTTTGCTGTCGGTCTTCCACCTCGCAAAATTAAATCTTGCGAATTTCCGTTGTAGCGTGCTCGCTGATATGTTAAGGTCATCGCAGTTGTCATCTCCCGATTTGAAGTAAAGTGGTCCCGTCTCATGGCGAATGTATTTCTTTTTGCCGTTCTCCAAATCTTCTCAGGCTTTGTTACATCACATAAGCAGTTCTTTGAATGACCCCATCTCATCCTTTTACATCCATGATCAGACTCTTTCGGACAATGTTTTTCGTAAGTAATGATATTCATCGATTGTTGCATGGCATGTGCAAACTTGAAGACAGCCTCGTGTTATTTCTCAGTTTGTTATTCTTCACCTAAAGCTGGTTTAACCCTTGCACAACTGTGCGTATCTGCTTACTTCTATTTCCTGCCTACTATATTTTACTAATGCTATTCGAAATTGTTGAACGTTTCTTCCGCCTCAGGTTGACTTACTGTATCTTCATGGCGCACTGCGTGTAAGTTTGCTCGAGTTAGCAAAAGTCACTTGCGTATTACAGTTCAGCATGAGACGAAACAAACAGGATAAGATCATCCGCCAAGCAGCAGCTGACTAATTCGAACATTTCCGCTATGACATTCTGACTGATTAGACTGGATCTACTGACCCAGTCCAGGTGAGAAAGGCGGTAACCAGTACACCTTCTTACAGGCGTGGATTCATTTTCTGCCGTTATCATGAACGCATGCCTCTGAACAGGATACAAGCATGTTATTGCTGTTCTCTTAGTGGTTGGTAATCCGTAGCATATTCTTCCAGTACTCTTTACAGCTTCAACCGAGCGCCTTGTCGTAAACTTTTTCACAGGTTGTTAGGCAGTAAAGTAACAGGGTTTTATATATCGCACCACTTTTCACATATCTGGCAGAGAGTGCAGATGAGTACTGAATCAGAATATTTACAAATGTTTTTCTCGATTGAGAGGAAGTCAGACAAGATTTGTATGTTTAATAGATTTCCACAAGATACGCAGATTTATATATTACATGATTTGACATCGTTGCGTCGGTTTCCCTAATCTTGACTATCGAAGCGACATGAAGAATATTGTTTTCTCTTCATTTTCTATTACTTTTCATGAATTGTCATACATATTTTCTGTTCTCTTCTTCACGAGTCATCTTTTCTTGAGGTAGATGGCATGACGAAAACATTACCAACTTTTTCTCATGGCTTAACACAGACAGTGATCTTCGACTCTTCCATCCAGATTTCTGATCCAGTGTCTTATTATGCTTATAAGGTGAGGAAGTCTGTGAGCTCCGAATATCATTGTTTCAGAATTAAGCAGTTTCAGAATTTACGGCAGGTGTTAATATTACTGTTGGATTACATGTTGGATTCAAAATACGGCGGTCTTCAATCTAGACCTCAGCATGCAACATGCATGAACTAGATAGACAAAAATGCGCTTCACCTTCTACGATGCTGTTTACCTTTGCCTTATACCAATAGCGTTTAAAAGTCAGAACGTAGCTGCGTATATCATACACGGACACGTTTCGCTTATGGAACAGGTTCAGGCTGATTATCACAGCGAGCTTCCCAGATAATGAAAAACCCCCACGATTTTTGCCCTAAAGTGATCTGTTACTTTGGTGTTTGGCCTGTTTTCACGATGGGGGTGCCGACGCTAGGTTTACGGAAAGTTGGACAGCGTTACTGAAATGAAAACTCGCCGTTCTGAAGTTAACTCGTTGAGAAAACTGTTTGACTTCATCGCATATGTGACCTTCGCGTAACTCATTAGATTATCCTGCGGCATGGACACATGCAGAGGCACTGATTTGCCATGTGGTTGGACTTCCAAATGAGGTTACTGCGAACAATACTCCCGCAGCAGTCTAAATACTTGCTACGAGATGCCGTTGTCATTTTTATTATGTTGACCCAGGAGTAGACCTTGGCCGTACGAATGAGAGAACTTGCTAAACCTTAGACAGATTTCTGTTCAGTTTAACAACTCGTTGATATATCGGTTGTAGTGCCGGCCACGCACGATTATTTTCATGTTTTCACAAACCGTTTGCCCTCAGTGTTGGTGTGATTTTTTTCGCTGGGTCTATATCTCTTACTGTAGGAAATGCTGAGTTGTATCTTTGACCTGTAGTCGGTTTTTTGTCTTTATAATTGTCACGGCGCTTTGTGCCGCTGCAGCGTCTTAAATGAAAATGCAAAGTAACATGAGCTGCCGCCATGCAAAAGCTGAAGTGCCTTTCTTACAACTTTTGGTCACTGTCCATGATCCTCTGCAGAAAGTCTGTTCTACAATAGGTTTAATGAATCTGTAATGCAGCTTGTGCAGAGGAAACTAAGGCTGCATTGTGATTCATTTTCATAAACTATGGTCAAAATCGATATGAAACGATGGTTAAGTTTTGCTTTAGGCAAACGAAGAATCTGATGACGAAGCAGTTAGCGATTCGGAAGTGATTTGGATGCTGAAAAATCACGATAGCATGTCACCTTCAGTA